AGTCACCCAATTCATCTTCAAGTGCTGCTATGTCTAGACTTCCTCTAAGTCATACAATTCTTTTAAAGCGATGCTCCGAGTGTGTTCTCGCTCCTCTTCGCATTCAATTATAAATGGATGTTGATGCTCCGAGTGTGCTCTTACTTCTATTCGCATTCAATTCTAAATGGATGTTGCTCTGGGCACTCTTGCTCCTATTCCCATTGAATTCTAAATGGATGTTGCTTTGCTCACTCTCGCTCCTATTCCCATTGAATGCGACATATTTTGCCGCCGCACGCATTCGAATTTTCGCTCTTGAACTTGCTCTGTGTGACTTTGGACTACCCTTTACACTTTAGCCACATGGGCCATCAGTCTAATTTGGCCCAAATGTTTTGAGACTTGACATAAATTTTAATGTTGCTTTTCATAAAGAATCATATCTGCAATTATGAAAAAAAAAAAAAAAAAGAATCATATCTTCTACCTCCAGTAATGGCGTTTCATTCAGGCAAATCATCAAATATCAAAATGGAGAATCTAAAATTAATGTGAAGCTGAACACTGAATACACAAATCCCAGCAACAAAATCAGTAACCTGAAATGACAAGGAAAATAATACCCATATGGAGAAGAAAATAGATATCATACTTGATCCTAATCCTTAAGACAGAGCCAACACAGAGAAAACATAGGATGTCCATTTTGTAGGGTACATAATATTACGAACAGTTCCTAATGATCGTCATAACGTTGACGTTAACGGATAAACGACGACAACAGCGATGGCCATAATACAAGTTTAGTTAATATTAACAAAATCCCACATTGATAAAATATAATATAATTTTCTTCTTAATAATTAACTTTATTGTACTCTAATATTGCCGAGCCCAGTAACGTGGACTTGTGACCAAGGGGGGCACTAAAGTGGTTCGATGCGGTTCTTGTTGTTTAGCCACCGGTGCAAGCAAATGCACCGCTCTCTTGCTTCCCTGACAACAATAAGTGCGCACTGGACGGCCTCCCCGCGCAAACCACTTTTTATATATATACACAGGCACATATATATTTTTTTCTTTTTTCTTTTTCTTTTTTTACATATACATATACATATACATATACATATACATACATCTATATATATATATATATATATATTTCTTTCAGCTTTCAAAAGCAAGAGTTAATTTCCTTTTCAATTTGTTGTTTGGTTGGGGACAACAAAAAATAGGGATAATTATAGTGACCTGAGGTTTCGTTAACATACATAGACCTCTCCTCTTATTTGTCAAATTATAATGACCTCCCTTGTAAGAGTGAAGTTACTAATTTGCCCTCATTATATTTAATTGTATTTTATTGCAAAAATGATAAATTATGAAAAGACCAAAAAACCCATCTCTAAAACAAAACCAAGTCCTTTGGTGATAGCAAATTTTATATATCTGTACCTATGTTGACTCCAACATATGGCTCATCTTCATCTTGTTGCACTTTAATATCTGCAATCAATACAAATTCAGTATACAATTCTACATATATACATAAATGGGTATGTAAAGACTGATTTTTTAGAAATGGGTTTGTGGAAACAATGCTAATTTAGTATACAAATCTATACATATACATATATGTTTGTAAGACTTTTTAGTATATCAATCTATTAAAGATTGATTTTTCTGAAGTGGGCTTGTGGTTTTTTACCTGGTAAGAATGTGGATGTAATTAAAGACAGTGAGATGATGAAGAGGGTGAGCTTAGAGTCTGCCATTAGAGAGACGCTTGAGCTCCAATTTCTACTTTTTCTGTTATCCTCTGCTTCTGGTTTAACTAAGCTTTGTTGCATTATCTTATGCAATCCCACTCATGGCCTGGGTGAGTTGCAATGACTGATGGTGATGGTTTGGGCAGACCCAAACTCAGTGAAGTGTACAGAAGCTTACACTGTCCGGCGACCCCCAAGCAACAACGAACCGGTTTGATTGGTTTGGCCTTGAAGAAAGAAGATGTGATATTTAAGTAATTTCATATGATTTAGTTAGGATAATAATTTATTTACATGTCTAAAATGGGAATTTGAGAATTAAAAAATTGATGACATCATCATTTTCAGTAATGGAGGGGAGGTCCATGTTTTTAGAATACAAATATCGAGGGAGGTCAGTGTAATTTGATAAACAAAAAGGGAGGTCAGTGTATGTTGATGAAACCTCAAGGAAGCCAGTATAATTATCCCTAAAAAATATAATTTTCAGATTGATGCCAAAATCTTGACATTCTATTCATCCAATACGATTTCTTTTCTTTACTGCGAGCCAAAATAAATACAATTTGAAGATGTACAAGCTGGTGAGCTATGCATTTTCACTAATTTTAAATTAATGCTTTTATATATATATTGCAATTGCTTCAGAGGCTAATCTTGTCTTCTTCACCTCTCACTCATCATCAAAACACCATCCTAAACATGCCTCAATCAAGGTACGTACGTTGGTCCTACATTAAAATTATACATTCAGTTTTCTGTTTTCTTTATATATATGTATATATCATGGATAATTATATATAAAAAAGAAATTAAAAGATGCATTTGAAATAAGTTTTTGGGTTAGTTTGTTTTCTTGAAACTGAAATCAGGGTTTGTTTTCTTGAATGGAATCATTATGGGATGGTGATTGGTGCTGTTTTTGGGTTGGAAATGAATTAGTATCGCTCTCAGCAAAGAGTTCTCCGAACTCAACTTAATCACTTCACGGATGAATATTGGGAATTCAAATTACATGTATGGATCGAGGTCATGACATGGGCAGGTTTGATTTACAGAGGATCAAACTGATTAATGAAGATAATTTGCAGACTATTGAAGCAGCACCCATATGGAGTACTAATAATATATATATATATATATATATATTTTAAGGGTTTCTTTGAACTAAACTTTTCATGAATTGTAATTTTAAAGTTTCGATTTTGGTGCTTCTAAACACATCATTAATGTAAACCTTTACATTGCATATAATATTTGACTTAATAGTCTTCAATATTTGTTATCTCTTTCTTTATATTTTATTCTTCTTTGTTTGTTGTTCAACTCACTATGAGATGATCATATTATCTGTTTGATTAAATTCTACGCCTTTTGAAACAAAGTATTCTCATTGATTTGTTATTTTCAGCACTTTTTTTTTCCCAATAACTAATTAATATATATACATAGGCATACAAAAAGCAAAGACAAATGAACCATTGTGTAGGGAATATTAATATTAACAAAATCCCACATTGTTAAAATACACTATAACCTTCTTCTTAATAATTAATTTTATTGTACTCTAACATTGCCGAGCCCAGTAACGTGGACTTGTGACCAAGTGGGGCATTAAAGTGGTTGGATGTGGTTCTTGTTGTTCGGCCACCGGTGCAGGCAAATGCACCGCTCTCTCGCTTCCATGACAAAAATAGGTGCGCACCCGAACCCTGATGGGTGTAGCCTCCGGGTCAGAGAGGAACCCAACCCACCATGGGTTGGCCAATATGCAAAAAACAAAAATGTGCAAAATGGAGGTTAATGGGGTTAAATGGAAGGGCCCAACAGCCATGGGCCAGCCCAGTCAGGGGGAAGGCCCATGGTTGCAAGAGAGTTGAATGGGCATCCTGCCTTGCGTACCCACCGGATGGCCTCCCCACACACAACCACTTTTTATATATATGTGTGTGAAAAGAAAATAAAATTCAGTTAATAGACCTTCCCAAAAATAGTCCTGGCTTTGTTACATAATTTTACCTTTTTCAATTTGTTGTTTGGTTGGGAACAATAAAAAATATAATTTTCAGATTGATGCCAAAATCTTGACATTTCATTCATCCAATACGATTTCGTTTTTTTTACTGCGCGCCAAAATAAATGCAATTTGAAGATGTACCGTGGCTACATCAATTTTGTGGACATGCTAGTGAGCTATATATGCATTTTCACTAATTTTAAATTGATGCTTATATTTATATATTTCACATTTTTGAGATATGAGTATCCACAACATCCTTGATTAACAGATAGGAACTTTTGGCTTTATTTAGTTTTGACCTTTTTCTAATCACAAGTTCACAACCCTAACTCTAACCCTAACCCTAACCAATTTTAAAGAAATATAGAGAAAGGGTAATCGTGGCACAGTGACTAAGGAATTTCTGGGAAACTTGGATGGTTCGAAAAATTATAAGGTGGTCTAAGACCATGTGATTCCCGTTAATCACGAAAAGTCATGTAATTAAAAAAATTGAATAAAGTAGACAATTTGATTGCATGTCATAGTCCAATTGGTGATTCGACTCTTACAGAACACAAAATTAAGCACCTGAATTGGAACAAAAAAGCGTCTGGTTGCAGGGTTCACCTTGCAAATACAATCATATTTTTGTTTTTAGAGGTTATAATATAGGGGAACTTTACTATAGGGTATCTACTAGTAATAGTTTCGTAAGAAAATATATAGATATATCATGTATCTTTTTTAGGAAAATAGTTATGTAGCTAGGGAATATTAGACCAAGTGAGTGTTAAAATTGAAAGTGGTGGTGATGTGAAAAACAGTACAAGAGTTAAATATGTGTGCGTGTGAAAAGAAAAAGAAAATTCTGCAGTTGAAAGATTTATTTTAAACAAGATTTAAATTGTTGGGTTTGTTTTCTTGAAACTGAAATCAGGGTTGATCAAGGAAGAGTCCGTTGTTTCCGTCAATTTTTGCAAATTATGGACATTTAAAGAAGATAAGACATTCACAATCAATGTGAATAAACTTTTCTAGAGTTTATCTTTCTATCGTATCTGCACTTACGAATAAAAAGAAAGAAAAAAAAATCGTATCTTCTACCTCCAGTAATGGCGTTTCATTCAGGCAAATTATTAAATATCAAAATAGAGAATCTAAAATTAATGTGAAGCTGAACACTGAATAAACAAATCCCAGCAACAAAATCAGTAACCTGAAATGACAAGGAAAATAATACCCATATGGAGAAGAAAACAGGTATCATACTTGATCCTAATCCTTAAGACAGCCAACACAGAGAAAACATAGGATGTCCATTTTGTAGGTACATGATATTACAAACAGTTCCTAATGATCGTCATAACGTTGACGTTAACGGATAAACGACGACAACAGCGACGGCCATAATACAAGTTTAGTTTCTAAGTTTTTTTGGTTACAAGGAACCAAAGATTGAGCTATCAAAATAGGCACAAGCTACTAACATTTGATAAGAACCTGCAAAAAAAAAAAAAAAACTATTCCTAATGCAAAAAAACAGTTTTGCTAGTAGCACACAACAAGAGTAATGTCTCATTTCCATAGCTTAACAATTCTGTCATGGCTAGCAGAAGCAACCAAACCCGTCACAGTTGATACAGCCAAGGCAGCAATCAGTCCTTCGTGGGCTGAAAGAGTCATTGTCTTGTTCTCGGTCATGTTCCAAAGCTCCAGTGACTGTAGCAAATGCCGGGAAGAATTTAAGCACATCAGTAATGTAAAACCATGTCAGTGTATTGTATAGAAATTATTGAGGGAGAAAAATAAATTAGAAGAAATGGTTTAGATGATCAATTTTGAATAAGAAATAGTTCTCTTTTCCAAAATGATGTTAACAAGGTAGAAGTTGAAAGGCCGCATTCAGCTTCCGAAGGCTGTGACATTATTGCAATATCTGACTTTTTATGTGTTGTATAAAAACCAACTTCAAGTGGATTTAGATTGACAACACAAACAAGAAAAAGTGCAATTTCACAATAAACAATACAGTAGAGCAGAGTGACTTGCCTGGTAACAGCCAATGACCAGCAATGAAGAATATGTAGGGTGGAAAACACAGGAGTGGAATTTGTTGCCATTACAACTTAGCTCATGAACACACTCCCCTTCGTTCCCTGATCCAAGTGTCCAAACTCTAACAGAATCCTCACTGACAGATGCCAGGAACTCGCCAGAAGGATCCCAGCAAACAGAATGAACCGGTTTTGTATGCCCCTGTAATAACGGATCCAAGATCAATCAAGGGAGTAATGCCACATAAAGAGACTAAGAAAGCAAAAATTAGATGTAAAACCCTTGCAGGTAAAATGGAATAAACATCGAGAATACATGTATCAAGAATTATAGAATCAGTAATAGTTTCCCAAAGAACTACATCTGACTCGTATGCTATAAAATATACAATCATAGAAGTATCCACTTTCGTATTGTTCAAGTGCAACTGTTCTTTGAAACAAAAGCCTTCTGCTTCAAGCACCAGGTAAAGTATTAAGACTCATATAAAACTTCTAAGGAATAAGGCTCTAATTAGGAAAAGAAAATCCAAAAGGCATATCATAGTTTTGTGTGGCCGCGACATTAAAATTCCATTGGACTAGGGCTAACATAATAGGACGTGTATACTATGCCACCGATCAACCTACCTGCAGCAACATGGATCTACTGTTCGATTTCAACAAACAGTTGACCTTTATACAAATGTTTTTTTTTCCTTTCCCCAGGTGGTGGGGGGAAGCATTGTATCAGAGAGACTAACAGATTAGGGATCAATGTGGACTGCTCCAGTTAGTGGGCGTATATCATTGCCAACAAAGTCTTTTATGCTATGTTTGGTTGGAAGGATGGAAGAAAGGAAGGAGGATGCTTCCATTGTTTGGTTGGAAGGAATGGAAGAGAGAGGAAGAAAGGAGGGAGGCCAATCTCTTGTCATCCCTCCAAAAATGGGCAGAAGAGAGGAGGGAAAAAAGGAATAATTGTTGCAAAAATAAGAACTAACATTTTTACCCTTCAATTATCTACTGAATTACTTTGTTGAAATGCCATAGAGGGATGAATTGGTGAAATATGTCAAAGGCAAAAATGGTCAGATCAAGAAGAATGCACTCCTTAATTTTCAATCACAGTGGAAACATATATTATTATGCATTCAAGAATATTACTTAAAAGACAATTACTGTTTTTTGTTTTTCATATGTTATTGTCCCACATCATTTATTGGACTTCATTAGATGTTCATTTGTACTCACCTTTTTGTTCTCCACATTCCTAGTCTGAGGCACAGATGAATTATACGCATCAATAATAAGTCCTAATCACATCCTATAACTTCGGGTGTTTATGAGGCATACCTTAGGGTCCTTTTTCTTCTTTCTTTTTTTTCCCCCTTCTATAAAGCATTTATCTCTACAACTTCATGTAACACTTAATTCACTGCTACTCATGGAATTCAAAACCAATAATTATGTGCTAAATACTAGCATACAAACCTTGGATTTCTCTAGCGAGATAAAACTAAAATCTGACCTGTAGTGAATGCCGACAAGCTTGAGTCTCCACATCCAGTATAGATACAATATTTTCGGCGGCGGCAGCAAGATATCTTCCAAGACGGGGTTGGAATCTCATCTGGGCCGTGCCACCCTAATACAAAAAGATATTATAAGATTGATTATCCCCGTCCCTCTTTCTCAAGGGGGAAAAAAGGAAAAATTAAAATCGAAAATGATGCATTCACATAAATATATAAAATGCAAAAGAACAAGAACAATAATTTTTACCTTGAACACTCTTGCGCAGCTACCATTGTTAATACTCCAGTATCTTATCTCACCATCCCCATCACAAGAGCAGATGAGGTCATCTTTAACTGGATGGAAGTCTAGTGACATAACAGAGTTTGAATGTCCAGTAAAAGTACGAAGTGAATATCCAGGCTGCAGTTTAATTTATAAATGAAGTTAAGAGTATATCTAGAATACGAATTCAAATCAAGTCAAAAATTATCTAAAAGAATTGGGCCTCCACAGCAAAAAGGAGATAAACAGAGACAATCAAAATCAAATAATTCAAGGAGACAAATAAAGTACACATACAAAAACAAAAAAGTCATTCAAAACTCTAGCACCAGAACGAACAATGAGAAAAGGAAAATATTAGTTTGACAATTTCAAGAATTAATTCTATGTTTATTAATTCAATGTTGGCAAAAAGAACTGGCAATTTCCTACTCAAATCTTCGTTTATAACGTGTCAAAGTGTCATAAATTCTTTGTAAGATGAAGATGAAATCATTATAGAACACATCACAAATCTTTACTTAATTACATATCTAGGTTAAGGCAAGTTGAGACCCTAGAGATCAATTATGACTCAGGTATGATCTTTAGAAGGCTCAAAGACTCAAAGTATGGTTTTTAATTATGTCTTCAAAATTAGGGTTTTGATCAAATGATTTAATCAAAATTTCCAAAACAGAGAGAATCAATTGAATGGCCAATGATTGAAATTTTGGAGGAAATTTTTTTGCTTGATCAAGGACTCGATTGAACCTTTTGAGAACCTGGTTTTTGGAAACACTCTCAAATCAAAATTTAACAAGGATTTATTTTCCAATTTTACATAGGACTCCAATAATGGCTATAAATATGATATTATAGTCATTCTACGCATCTCTCACTGGGGCTTTAACTCTACATATTATTGAGAGAATCTAAATCTTCTAGTGGGGCAAAGCTTGAGAATAAATCTACAATTCCTCACAGAATGCCATACTATATGTGATTGAGAGAATCAAAGCAAGGAACAAAATTGAAAACTACTAGACAGAGCATCAACTGGAAAGTTTGGAAAGAACAAATTGCATGGGCCTCACTAATCATGGAGATGAAAAGTCCAAGGAGAAGCAGATAGCGTAGGAAAGGGATTTGTTGACGAATCTGCAGAATGATCTGAGAAGATCTTGCGTAAGGTCTGACTCAAGAGGTGCTTGGTGATTCCAGGCTTTGGAATCTGATAACTTATTTGTAAACCACGTGGTTTGATGACAATAATTCACAAGCCAACAATATCGAATAGTTTGTGCACAAATTTTGTGGTTGAAAATATAAATTATCAAACTTTCCAAATCTTCAGATAGCAGCATTTTCAAAGAATATGAAAGAGAGAAGGGCTGTTTATGACCGTAGCTTGCATCTTAAATAAGAGAGCAAGTCCCTCGTTTTTACTGCATCATTATGCAAAAAGCACAAATATATGTGTTCAGAAGTCATTTAACTATTACCATATGACCCACAATGAAGGTTGTGAGGTAAAACCACCCTTGGCACTGGAAGCGCACTCATGTATCTAACAAGAAAAAAGCAAGTGGAAAAAAATGCATATGCTGCTCCTTGTTTATCTATGTGCCAAACAAATGGTGTGCCACAATGCATTTTTAAACCAGAAGGAAAGAGGTAAGTTGTGTCCCCCAGAAAAGAAAACCCCAAATGCTGAAATAGCATTTAAACACGTCCAGATTCCCTCCCCCAACCCAAGTAAATAATTTTTTTTTTGGGTGGAAGGGAGGGGGGGTAAAAACAACATTCAAGTGGACACCGTAATGAACAAATCTTCCCACAATAACATAAAAATATAATGTGTTACCAGCTCCACCAAAGTTACCACAGTTAGGTCAATGATCTGAGGTGACAAGGTCAAATCACAAATATAATGATAATAACAGAGATATTTCCAGAAAGGAGATTCAGATGAAAAATAATATACAAAGTCCGAAAAAGGAATATTTCAGAGCAGATATATACACAATTAGTTGAGCCAAGAAAGGAAAGAAAACGTATACTAACATTGTCAGCATCCCAAACCCTGACTGTTTTATCAAAAGAAGAAGTTGCAAGACGGGGTATGCTGGGACTGAAACGGACATCAGTAATTAGTGCTATATGTTCTTCAAGTGTTGTTTTTTGCTTCAAAGTATCTGTGTACCACAATACAGCCTGTAACACAAACCATCAGTCAAATTATTTCAAAATATTCTTCCCAAAAAAATTCTGTAAAAATTAAGAAGCATTTAAATTTGCCATAGTTTGTTTCTTCGGAACATTCATTCTCATACTCATTTACAATATTCCATCCAGCCTCTTGTTACTCACCTTTTTATCATGGCCACCACTTGCAAGCAGTTTCCCGTCTGATGAAAAGTGGCAACAGATAACTTTGCTTGTGCTAGCTCGAACAGAATTGACTTCCGTAAACGTGAAACCTGAATTAAATACAGAAGCAGTACCATTAAGACCAAACACGGACTATTGATCACTAATTCTGGACTCTCAGTTGTTGCGTGAATGAGACTCAGTTATTACATGTTCTGAATTTAGTTGAAGTTTATGCCTTATGATATTGGTACTGATTTTCTCAGGATTTACTTGATAAAAATCGTATCTGAAGAGAGAATAATAATTGAAAACTGCATGAAATGTGCAAATTGTAAACGAAGAAAAAAATTCAACATTATAGCTTATATAGATAAATATTAAGCATAATTATCCTTAAAATATATAAAAGTAGAATAATCATTATTATATTGCATACAACAGTGCATAGAGAGCAGCTGGTTTATCAGTCTGCTTGTATTTTTACAGCAAAATTTTCCTTTCCTAGAAAAGATGGAAATAAAATCAAACAGAGAAAGAAATTTAAAGAAAAACACTGACATGCAAGAGTAACTATATATTATGTTAGCTTCCAAAAAGAATTGAAAATGTCAAAACTACTCGGGCGATTCTAAACAGAAAGTTCAGAATAATCACAAAAATAATTTAAGATCTCTGTTCTAGGAAATACCACATCTAAGAAGAATATGGTGACAAAGCCTACACTATTATGCTAGAGTGGTGATGGAAGTTACCAGATGATCGACGGGGCAATCCTAGGCATATTTTTATAATTTTTTGAACACTATAGTATAATACAATAGAAAAAGGATATACTAGTTAGATTAGAAATGTAATAGTTTCCAAAATTTTCCATATTTTGAAGATTTTGTCACGATGCTCAAGCCAAGTAAAAAGATAGCATCTAACTGACCTTTGCTAACATCCATACAACGACCAACTGTATCTCTGGGATCTGTATCATCATGTGATAAAAAAGACTCAACATTATCATCAAGAGATCCATCCTCCACAAAATCAGCCTGCCCAAGATCTTTATCATCCCACTGTCAAAATGGAATGTCAATGTGAAATCATGCAAGTAAACAAAATAATAATAATAATAATAATTCCACCAATACAAAGAAAATGAAAAGATAGCTCACCAATTGATTTGATGGTGATGTCAGAGAACCAGCACCATCGGTGCCAAACATCATCAAAGGCTTCGAAGAACTACCACTATGTGGCAAAACAGGCATTGAGATCACATCTCCAGGTGTGTGAGTTGAAGGCGACGAGGGTGCTGAACTTGGGGAAGGTCCTGCTGTGTTTGCAGTTCCTGTGCTATTGGCAGGACCTGAAGATGACACTGGTTGCTTTCTCTTCCTTCCAGTCTGGTTTTTTGAAGCCTTAAAATGCATTAGAAACCATGTTAGGAATCAACTTAACAATTATATAGACCTAACATATGAATTATGAAGTTTACAATAATATCCCCAACCCAAAACACCAGAGATATCATTGCCCAACTCCCAAGATTGTAATGCCAAGTGTTCATCAACCTCGACATATTCTATAATATATTTAAGTTGAAAATATTACAGTGTCTTGATTTTGGGTAATTCAAGAATTATGATGGATATTTAAACAATAGGGAGAGTTGTTAATGTGAATTTTCAAAAATATGCCATAACTGCCATTTATTGTCCCTTTCAACTTCATTCTCATTCTCCACAGTTTTTCTTTTTTTTAAAAAAAAAAAAGGAACTCGCCCATGAATCATGATAGGGCCACATGGAGTGGAGAGAATGCCAAGAGCATGAATCTACTTTCAACAGATTGTCTTTATAATTTTTTTATGAGTAACCAGAATTTAACAGACCTGATCATTTCCACGAAAGGAGTTTGACATGCTACCATCTGCAGTGACACTACCAGCCCCAACAATTTTATCTTGCTGGTGAAGATTGTGATTTGAACTCTGGGATTGCTGACCAGAAAGAGCATGCTGCTGAAGCTGCTGCTGCTGTTGTTGATTACTGTTCTGTTGTTGTTGCTGCTGCTGCTGCTGCTGCTGTAGCTGAGCCATTTGGCCCATTTTTAACTACACATAAATCAGAACATTTAGAAACACAAAAAATATTGGACCTATGTTGAATACAAGGTAAACAAGGTAAATTATGAAAGGAAGAAACCCCAGAGATGCAACAACTTCAACGGCATAGAGGGGTTATTGATGGGGGGAAAAGAGAACCTTAAGAAACATATCTGGATCTCCACGAGGTAAAACAGGACAACCAGCTTGCAGAGGTGATCCAACATTTGGAACTACATCACCAACAGAATTTGAAATGCCATCCTTTCCGACACCCATGCTTCTGCTATTTAGAAGCATTCTCAGCCTTCTGCTTTCCACGTCATTGGCAGATGGGGAGGTCAAATTCTGCTGTGCAAGCATAAGTTGCTGGGTCTGTGGTGTCAGCATTTGAAGCTGATGAAAAGGCTGAGGACCTTGCATAAATGATTTTGGCTGCTGCAGAAGCCCAGAGCGAATCT